TAGCCTGCTGCTGTGGGCTAGAACCCTCCGTCAGTGATTGGAATAATTCGTGCAGTTGGTGTAATATTGTAATAATTCGCACAAATGGTTGACCAATGGATCCAGAAAACAAGTGGCAAGAAAGATTCCAAGTTGTAGGGGAAACTTTCATTACAACATTTCGTCCAGAACTGGACTTTATCAGTCATACTAAAGCACTCAGATACACTGCCCTAGAGGCAAGCGATGACAATAAGGTCAGACTCGGGAAAAGTCAAAGTGAGAAGTGAGAAGTGAGGTCAAAGGTGAAGGCCAATGCAAACAATGGTTATATTAGGTGCCAATTTTAGAGGAACTGGATTATGGTCCATCTAAAATTGGCAGGCAATATAGGAGATGCATGCATGACAGCATATTCATTCCCTCGTTTTGTTCGATGGAATCAGTTAAATAAATCGTAGCCGCTTCCAGAATCTTGCATTTGCTTCTGTCCTCCTCCAGATACAACTGCACTGCTGCTCACCAGTTCATGATGTGAAAGTGTAGACTGCAGTAAACGATGCAAGCGTTGCTGGCATCGCTCTTCCTGCATGCGTATTTGCGTTCCTGCAGGCGAGTTTGAAGGTCAAGTCTTGTTTTCCATCCACATAATGGTTGCTACACCCCGCAAATAAAATTCAGTAAAACCCAACGTAAGTGGTGCGCTTTTGTCTCTGATGCTGGTGATTTCCTTTTTCATTTTGGTAGTTACTACAGCTACGTCCTCGCTGGTCTTATGAAATATGTGGATGACAGTGGTGGCAACCTGTCCTGTGGGGAGGACAAGACCGATCGATGTTGGACGTCTCACTGGGTGTGTTGTGGATGAGAAGGGCTTTCCTCTTGCAGGAGTGGATAATGTGTTTAGAAAACTTAATGGCAGTGAAGGTGTCCTCGATGTATTTCTGATTATCCTCAAGGAATTCTTTACATACCATGAGAGGGCGGGGGAAAAAATTTTCAAGACAGGGTCTTGAAAGTTTGATGGTGAAATATGCAACATGCCATCCTTATTGGTAGGGTCACTATTAACCCGCTTTTAAGACTTTTCTCTTCCTTGATGAGGACGTTAAGAAAGAGCAATAATTCATCCCCTTCTTCCTCCTAAGTGAACTGTGGGGTAAGTTTCACTAAGTTGAGAGCGTCGCTGAAATGGTAAAGATTGAAGCATCCAGGGACAATGACCCTCATCAATTTTCATCTTTTTACACAGGTCACCACCGAAGGAAACAGAGAGACAGACAGACATAGAGACATATATATAAAATATATTAAAAATTATATATATATTATATATTTATATATATTATATATAAATAT